ACCACAACTGGAAACAGAAGAAAGCATCGCAGAAACACAGAGTGAAATAGGAGTTCAAAAGAGGGGCCCAGGGAGAGGTCTGGGGGACACCAAAAGGTGAAGTGGCTGCATAGAGTAGCTGTCTTTTTTTGTTTGTGTCAAGTTTTGAGGCGTACGAACGGGTTAGAATTCAACTATTTGACACAGTTTTTCATTTGTCATACAATTGACAGGAGAAAGGTACAAATAAAAGAAGCTGCTTGTCTGTAGAGTGTAGCTTTGGGAAAAGATTGCTTTGCTTCAGGAAAAATAGGACCCATGCAACCCAAAACTCTAGGGTATGATGGGGACGCATTGGTGAGAGGATCTCACCGGTGTTAGTGAAAAGGTAGGCTGCCTTCAGGATTCAGCTGGAGCACTACAGCTCTGGACACAGGGTTCCATCTCATTGCAGTGTAGTCACGGACACTGTAAAGTGTAGCCCTCCCGGAAGAATGGATGGGAAGAGACCACTTTTTTCCCCACTGCCTAAACTTGAGAATGAGCAATTTGTGCTCCCCTGAAGTGGGTGCTTACCCACTGCTGTGTGTGGTCGTCCCCTGTGACAAGTTTCCAGGGCCAGATGAGATGAGAAGTGGAACAAAACATACTTTTTTTTTTTTTGAGGCAGTCTGTTGCCCAGGCTAGAGTATAATTATGCAATCTCCACTTGCTCCAACTTCTGCCTACCAGGTTCAAGAGATTCTCCTGCCTCAGCTTCCCCAGTAGCTGGGATTACAGGTGCCCACCACCACGCCCAGCTAATTTTTGTATTTTTAGTAGAGACAGGGTTTCTCCATGTTGGTCAGGCTGGTCTCAAACTCCTGACCTCATGATCTGCCCACCTCAGCCTCCCAAAGTGCTGGGATTACAGATATGAGCCACCGCACCCGACCAAAATGTACTTTTCATCGGAAAGTTTTTGTCCGTTTTAGCCCTCTGGCTGGAACTGTTGATTGGGAATCACTTTCCATGGATTCTGTTAGTACTACAGCCCATGCGTTTTCGGTGGAGACAAATGGAATCCTACTAAAAAGACTAATAATACCCCTAGTCACTGTGGGGTAGCTTTCACTCCAAATAGGCAGTGATTATAGAGAGAGCTGTCTCTGTACATCATGAATGTGGAGAACAATAGAAGTCTGCAATCCACAGATATCATTTCCATCATCCCAGGAAAGTTCCCTTTTAGGCAGCAGTGTGCTGGTAAATGGTGACTAACCAGCAACCTATAAAAAAATCTATGCATATGTGTATGCATGAGTATGTTTGCTGATCTAAAAGATGTGGAACACACAATTTACAAATAATAAAATACACAATACACTTTCCTATAAATTCCATATAGCCAATTCATTCTCAGAGAATGCTTTTGTTGATTTTTACCAAGCTCTTGTATCTGCAGCCAACCTATGGTTGCAATTAATCAACAAGTATAGTTCAGACATATTGACATTTTGTTTACATTAATGAGCAATGCAAATATGAAACAATTTCTTTGTGTGTCAATACTTCACTTGGATAAATTGAATAATAGTTTTCAAATACCAGAAGACTATTTCCTCAAGCGTTTGTGCTATTCACAATGTGATGGCCATAGATACAACTTTAGTATTGTGTTATTAACATTCTTCCCATCACTTTCTTAAGTCTAATCAACAGCAAAAAACACAGGGTGAAACAATTAGAAAGTGATGAATATTGAATGTTACCTTTGCTTTTAATATAACAATTTGAAAGTTATGATTTTCATGATTGTTAACTTGAAATTTTAATAATTGGTTCACAAGTAAACCTGCCACGTGCTTGTGCAATCAATTCCACGCCATATATACACTTTTTTTTTTAATGAGGAAAAGGTAAAAATACAGAATACTCCATGGATTCTCAGGATTAAATCTATTGTCTCTTAACATGACAGGAAAGTAAAGCTTTGACCCACAGGGGAGACTGGAGTGGAGAAGTTGGCCTGTCTGTTCCCATTTCAGGAACTGGCTAAGAGTGTGTTTCTGGAAACAAAACTGTCAGAGTGAAGTCTCACAAGAAATCAGAAACAGGACCCAGATCTCAGCCCAAGGGCTTATAACAAAGGCTTAAAGCAGGCTTTTTTCCAAAAGTGTTTTTAATTCCAACATCCATCTTAATGGCCTACTGTAGCCTAATTTAGCCAATAGCTGTTATTCTAAAAATGGAAGCTAATGATTCCAGCTAAAAACAACTAAGCCGGTGTTATCACAGTATGTTGTAAGAAACTGATTATCATGGGGTGCATTTGTTTTTCACTTCCTTTTCCTTGAAGAAAGGCTTAATAAGAGTCCCACATCAAAAGCAAAAGCATTTCTTTCTCTCATGGGACCCTAGAATATTAGGACTGTGTTCTCTAGAGGCAACCACCTCCCAGAACTACTCTTTGTCAAGATGCATCACATAACGGAGCGATGGTCTGGCTGAAGGGCACCACCTGCTATCGCTCATCATAGTCGTGCCATTCAACAAATATTAGCAGCATCAATTTACTTCTCTGGAGCACCTGCAGGTACCCACCACTTGGCTCAGTGCTATATAGCTCTGCACACTTTATATTTTCTAAAATGCATGCATATGGTAAAGAAGCACAACTTTTAAGGCAAAGGTCAGATAATAGCCATATTGCACAAGTGTCTAGCTGGAGAAAATTGGCAAAAAAAAAAAAAAGGTTTGTAAAATGATCAGTTTTAGATATGCAGGATAAATATGTTCTGGGCATGTAACATACAGCATGGTAAATATAGTTAATAATACTTTCAAGGACTGTATACAGTTGTCTCTCTATATTGGCGGGGGATTTCTTCCAGGTTACCCCACAGATACCAAAATCTATGCACGCTCAAGTCTCCATTTTGCTATTAACAACTGAGAAGCTGAATAATCTCAATTTAGGGCATTGGTTTCCAGGTGAGCTCAGAATTTTCTTATTCCAGCTTGTGACATCTCAACGAATTTCCCATTTCCACCTAACATCGGGAGCCGTGTTCCTGGGCCACTTTCAGGATTCTGGCAGAAGGTGTTTCTGGTGAGGGGAGAAGGTTAGAGGTGAATCAGAGGCTCCTGGCTGATGCACCTGCGCCTTCACGTGCCCCGGGCACACATGCAGACATTCGCTTTCTTACGGCTGCCAGCTTTAAATTCTGTCCCCCAACTGTCACTGTGTGAGGTGGTCCTTTGCTGCATCGAGAGGAGGTCACATAGCAAGCAGAGCCCCCAGGAATGCAAGTGCCTCGGTCATCTACACTCTGAGCACAGGCAGGTCTTGCTGCTCACTCCACCTGGGGTATGGCTGCAGCCTAATCTCTCACCCTTTGTGAGTAAGAATATACCTTGGATAAACACAATGGCTTCAGATTGAGCAAAGGATCTCTTTTACATGCCTTAAGTTATAGTTTCTCGAATTAAGTACCCAGTTTATAAGAAAGAGTAGCTTACCTCTTGCATCAGCATGACCTGGATGTGGGACATGGAGTCAAAGGAGATTATTCTGGAGCTTTAAGATTTAATGAGTGCCCTGCTGGGTTTCAGACTTGCACAGGGGAGTGCAATGGTGCATAGGGCCTGTAGCCCCTGTGTTTTGGTCAATTTCTCCCATTTGGAATGGGAACATTTACCCAATGTCTGTATTCTCATTGTATCTTGGAAGTAACTAACTTGCTTTTAATTTTATAGGTTCACAGGCAGAAGGGATTTGCCTTGTCTCAGATGAGACTTTGGACTTGGACCTTTGGGTTAATGTGGAATGAGTTAAGACTTTGGGGGACTTTTGGGTTAATGGTGAAATGAGTTAAGACTTTGGGGGACTTTTGGGTTAATGGTGGAATGAGTTAAGACTTTGGGGGACTTTTGGGTTAATGGTGGAATGAGTTAAGACTTTGGGGGACTGTCGAGAAGGCATGATTGGTTTTGAAATGTGAAAAGGATGTGAGATTTGGGAAGGGCAGGGGTCGAATGATTTGTGATTGGTTCTGTGTCCCCACCCAAATCTCATCTCAAATTGTAATTCCCATAATCTCTACATGTTGAAAGAGGGACTGGTAGGAGGGGATTGGAACATGGAGACAGTTCCCCCTCTGCTGTTCATGTGATAGTGAGTTCTCACAAGATCTGAGGTTTTATAAGGGGCTCTTCCCCACTTTGCTTGCTCTCACCCACTGCCATGTAAGACATGACTGCTTCCCCTTCTGCTATGATTGTAAATTTCCTGAGGCCTCCCCAGACATGCCGAACCAAATCAATTAAACCTTTTTCCTTTATAAATGACCCAATCTCCAGTATTTCTTTTTTCTTTTTTTTAATTTGGGGCCAGGGTCTTCCCAGGCTGGAGTGTAGGGGTGCAATCACACCTCACTGCAACCTCAAACTGCTGGGCTCAAGCAATCCTACCACCTCAGCCTCCCAAGTAGCTGGAACTACAGGCACATGCCACAACACCCAGCCAATTTTTACTTTGTTTTTGTAGAGTCAGGGTCTCTCTAAGTTACCCAGGCTGGTCTTGAACTTCTAGATTCAAGCAATCCTCCAATCTCAGCCACCCAAAGTATTGGTATTACACATGTAAGGCACTGCAGGCAGCCTCACATTTAAAGGGCTTTTAATAATGAGTTCAGGGCCAAGTGCAGAGGCTTATCCCTGTAATCTGCACACTTTAGGAGACTGAGGCAGGAGGATCCCTTGAGCCCATGAGTTCAAGACCAGCCTGGACAACATGGCAAAACCCCATCTCTACAAAAAAATACAAAAAAGTAGCCAGGCATGAAGATACACTCCTGTAGTCCCAGCACTTGAGAGGCTGAGGTGGGAGAATCACTTAAGCCCAGGAGGTGCAGGTAGCAGTGAGCTGAGATTGCACCACTGCACTCCAGCCTGGGTGACATATCAAGATTCCATCAAAAAAAAAAAAACAACAACAACAAACCTAAGCCACAATGAGTTCATTTCTCCTGATGTGAAGCAAATTTTGAGTGCAAAAATTTATACTGATTTTTAAAAACTTAAGCAGTTTAAGAATGCATACTCTTTAGAAGAGCACTATACATGCAGAGGCCTGGGCCTTACCATCACCCTGGCAAGCTAAATTGCCTCATCAACACTGTCCCTGCAAAGTTTCTGTAGAAGTTGATTCATCAATTAAAAGTCAGATCTGTGCAGACACAGCTTGAAGAAACTGCCAGCAGTTCATTGCTGATTACCAAGGCAAACATTTGTATTTCAAAGTTGACCAACAGGATGACAATTCTCAAAGCTCAAAAAATATTTTGTCCAACTAAATGCTAGCCTAGCGTATGACCATTACCCATCCATGGTTACTAACAATCCAAGGGAACACTGCTGAGAGCAACAAATGCCACAGGCTGCGGTCTCAATAAATCCCTCTTTGTCACTATAAAAGCTGGTCTAGTCCCAACTCAGTATCAAGGATATTATTCCAGACAGCCCAGTATTCTCAATTCAGAAGTTCCTTAGCAAATAAGTGCTTCCGATATATTTGCCGGGGTTCCTGAATTGGAGTTTTCTGCATCATCTCCATAAAAATACTGTTTCACCTTTAAAGTCATTGAAGAATTGAAGCAGACCCTTGGAAAGTTTCCTAAAGGAGTGAGAGTGGCTCCAAAAATAACCTGCCTTCTAGCACCAGACCACTAACCCAGAGAATTCACTTCATGGTGGGATGGTCACTCAAAGTATGCTATGACCCTAACCCCCAAGAAGGTGATGGAAAAGGCTAGAGGAAAATCCTAAACAATTGCCTATGCTTTGTATATTTCTCTAGAAACCCAATCAACTAACAGAAAAGCCAACTGGAAATTTTAAAATGTAGATGCTACTCATGAGGGCTGTCATCGATGCAGGAAAACTATTAACTCCAGTGGATGCCAGGCTTCTTTCACTGTATTAAAAAAGTTCCTCACATTTAATAATTTTGGTTAATTTAGATCAGTTTTGATTTAACAGACAGCATGAATCAAATTTAGTTAAAACATTAATGATGTTGTAATATTTATTAACATAGCCAATTCTCAATATAAAAGATTTATGAATAGCCTAATACTTCTACTTTATAAACTTGCTTTATAAAAAAAAAAATCAAAGAAATGCTCTTTTGAAGAACAAAGTTTCAGGGCTTGGAGGAAAGAGGAAGTGATCATTACAAATTCTTCATAGAACCACCAGGAATCTTTTAATCCATTAAATACAAACATAGAAGATCAGATTCTGATCTGACATTATTTCTGTATTTTTAGAAACACTTTTCACTCACAAATCCAAGGTTGCAATGGCATTAAAAATATCTACAGGAAAGGACTGGCATGAAATACAATATTATGATAATAGTTGTCACATTAAAGTGGTTACTTTTCCGTATTCTTTACATGTCCCACTGTATGGCTATATAATTTTTACAATAAAAAATCATAAATTAAGGAAGAATTCAAGGTTACAAAGCACTGTTGACTTTATAAAAGAATTCTTAAAACAAATGTGCAGAAAGAAGGCATTCGACTAAGATAGAGAAGCCGCCAGGTGGAAAGGCTCGCGAGGTCCCGGGAGGAGCTCCAGGGGGAAGCTCATCGTTGGCCTTTCCAGCAGCGCTGTCCCTGGACATCGGAAGCAGTGGGAGCCCCTTCCCTGTGGCACCCTGGACTCCCACCAAGGCACATAAGACAGACACTGTACTTCTACACATTTATTAGTCTTGGGTGTACGGGGACTCTCAGAGCACTTCTGAAATGCATACTCGATTCCTTTTTACATCGAGGAAAGTAAGATTCACACACAAATACCAAGATGACCAATGAATGGTGGCCTCGCTGGTGAATGCAGCCATTGCAGGTAACCACATTGCCCCCCTAGCTTTCTGTAACCCATGGGATTAGGGAAAAGTTAGGTAACATTTCTTTTTCAAATTCATTTCAAACACTCAACTATGTTCATTTAAAAAACAGCAATTATATGCACAAGACTGTAAACAGATCGCATTCACACTGACAGCCCACAAAGGGGGCTCTCTGTGCCCTTTCAGGAGGGTTTGGGGCAATAAACCCAAAATCTGTATTTAAAATAGGTGTGTCTCATAAGATAAATTTTTAACTTACTTAATAAAGGTCCTAGTGGACATTCCAAACTAGTAGCTTATACCTAGAGAGAGAAAATATAAATGCTTACTGTATAGTTATATAAAAATAGAAATCTATCAATAGAGTCCAATTCTCAAGAAATCACACAGTTTGTGCCCAAAGGTTGTATATATATCAAGGAAGGGTGATTTCCTTCCTTGATCTCTAAACAACATCCTCTCCACGTCGGGGGTATCTAGAGGTTGGGCATTTGCCTAATGCCACAGGGTCCACCAGCGGGGGTCACAGCTGCTGGTTGGTGAAGAAGGATTTAGTCTCCCTGCAGACAGGATTGACACAGAGCGGACAGCTCAGCGTCAGCTGCTTGGAACACAGCTCGTTTGACTGGATGTGTGAATGCACCAAGTCGGCCAGGGCCTGGAAGACAGACAAGAGGCAAAGAGGCATCAGAAGCACAGGGCCTGCTCATCTGCCATTTCCCCCTCCTCCATCTGCCCAGGTCAGCACTCTGGCTTGAGGTTTCTTTTCATCTCAGCAGTGAGCATTTTGGATCAAATTCTACAATATCTTCCTTTCCTGAGAATCCTCAGCTTAGAGAAAGTTAAAACAGAGATTTCAGGAAATGAAATCCTCTTACCCCACCCACTAGATCTTTTCTCTGGAAAGCAGGTTTGAAAGTAGGTGGGTAGGAATCAGAAAATTGGGGCTATCTGAAGGAAGACTGAGCAGATAAGGATAAAATTCGATTTTATTTTTCTAATTAATTGGAACTCCAAATGTTCTAATATGTGAGAAAAACCAATATTCTGCAAGAGTTTCTCAGAGGATTACTCTCTGGTATGTTCTACTAAAATGGTTGTAACACTGTAGATACCTTAGAGAACAATGGATTTCCATTAAGAGACTCTGCTCTTCTGATGTTTTCAACTCCACACTGAATCAAATGAGAAAAGGGAGGAAAAACACAGACATGTTTTATTTTCCTTTTTTTTTTTTCAAAGAAACTGCCACAAAAAAAAAAAAATACACACAGACACACACACACACAATTCAAAGTCTGACTTCAAGTGTTCTCAGACTTGCTCATGAATGAAAAACAGTCATGGGACAGGGCTGTACGTTGATTCTGTTATTATAAATTATTTCTCAATTCCTATGTCCTTCCCCTTCCCGTTATCTTCCCACAGGTGATTTGTTTTTGAATCCTTTTTGTGGTTACACTTGATAAAATTCTCCATTGAAATCTGCTTACCATTCTTTTTTAATTCTATTTTCTAATGCATAATTTTACAGACTCTCCCTAAGTACAATGTTACTTTAAATATAATTTCATATTTGTTTTGATCCCAAGCACGAAGATGAAGTAAATTAACTTATTGACTATAAAATGTACATTGGACCCAATTCAGAGTTGGGTTTTAAAATATATTCCATTTTTTTTTTTTTTTTTTGAGATGGAGTCTTGCTCTGTCGCCCAGGCCGGAGTGCAGTGGCACTGTCTCTGCTCACTGCAACCTCCACCTCCTGGGTTCAAGGGATCGTCCTGCCTCAGCCTCCTGAGTAGCTGGGATTACAGGCACCCACCACCACGCACGGCTAGTTTTTATATTTTTGGTAGAGGCAGGGTTTCACCATGTTGGCCAGGCTGGTCATGAACTCCTGACCTCAAATGATCCACCCGCCTCAGCCTCCCAAAGTGCTGGGATTACAGGTGTGAGCTACCAAGTCTGGCCTAAAATATATTCTTACGGAGAAAAAGCTAAAGGAAAACATGGGAGGATTGTTTCAGTACCATCCCTATTCCCAGTTCCAAAAATATTCACTGCCTAATAACTGAAATTGGTCTAATAATGATTTACTCAGATAGTTAGGATTCGTCTATTTCCCTTTTCTTCTGGTAGCTTTTCAGTACTTGGTCATTTGTTATTTATTTATTTATTGATTGATTGATTGATTGATTGAGATGGAGTCTCCATCTGTTGCTCTGGCACAATCTCAGCTCACCACAGCCTCCGCTAAGCAAATTCAAGTGATTCTCCTGTCTCAGCCTCTCGAGTAGCTGGGATTACAGGCACACGCCACCATGCTTGGCTAAATTTTGTATTTTAGTAGAGATGGGGTTTTGCCATGTTGGCCAGGCTGGTTTCAAACTCCTGGCCTCAGGTGATCCACCCGCCTCGGCCTCCCGAAGTGCTGAGATTACGTGTGTGAGCCACCACACTGGATTCAGTTACTTGATCTTTTAGATTAGCATTTACATCAGGAGATTGGCATGAGAAAAACATTGAGATTCAGCAAACACATGGATCTCAACTTAAGAGGCTGTATTCTCAAACTTCATCTAAAAGTCAGTTACAACTGAATAACCAATGTTGGCAAAGGGCATTCTCTAACAATGTTGGTGGGAGAGTCAGCGATACACTGACTAGAAAAATATGTAGCAACACTGAAATTCCATGTGCACCTGTAGTCCCAGCTACTCAGGTAGCCAAAGAGAGAGGATTGCCTGAACCCAGGATTTTGAGGCTGCAGGGAGCCATGACTGTGCCACTGCGCTCCAGCCTGGTTGACAGAGCCAGATTTCATCTCTAAACAAATTTATAAAATCACAAAAAAGTTAAAATAAAAAAATTGTTTTCCAAACATATTGGTATTAAACTATATTTTCACTGAAGTTTTAGCAGGTTCACAATTAGCCAAACTCATGGTGAGCTACAGAAGGCATCTTTAAATGAAATCCATAGACAATGCTGCAACCACTTCTTAGCCAATTACAACTTGCCTGCAATTCCTTTATCAGAACCACTGACAAGAAACTTAGGTGCTCCCTAGCTTCACCCATGTCTGATTGATGTCCAGCATGGAAATTCAAAATCCACAGGGACCGGGTGTTTGCTCAAGTTCTGTCCCCACCCACTCTCTGCCCTGCCCTGCACCTGCTGCCCAATCCCAGACAGGGTAAAGTCTCCTGCAGGCTGGGCCTCCATCTATCACACACGGGGTGACCAGGGCCAGAAACTCTGGCAGAGAGAAAGGAAAGGGTTTCTTGGATACTAACGCTTCCTTACTCCCCATAAAAATGAAGCTATATGTTGGACACAGGTTTTAGGCCAGCTTTCAGAAGCCAGGACATAGATGAACAAATAGTTTTTCTCCACCCTGAATGACAATTCACATCCATCTCATATTACTAGACACCAAAGATGGTTTTTGTTTTGTTTTGTTTTTTTTTTTTTAGATGGAGTCTTGCTCTGTTGCCAGGCTTGGGTGTGTTGGCGCAATCTCAGCTCACTGCAACCTCAGCTTCCTGGGTTCAGGCGATTCTCCTGACTCAGCCTCCCCCGAGTAGCTGGGACTACAGGTACACACCATCACACCCAGCTAATTTTTGTATTTTTAGTAGAGACGGGGTTTCACCATGTTGACCAAGATGGTCTCTATCTCTTGACCTCATGATCCGCCTGCCTTGGCCTCCCAAAGTGCTGGGATAACAGGCATGAGCCACGGTGCCCGGCCAAAGGTGGCATTTGTTATTTCAATAATCAGATTGATCACAACCCGGCAGCAAATAGCTAAATAAATGAGTGCATAAAGGAAGTCAAGGAAATCACAACACACATTGATTCCACATTCACTTCATGCTCTTCTCTTAAATTACAATGATTCCTGTATGCCTTCACACTCAACAAGAAGCCATGTAACAGCCCTGAGTAAAGGTTACTATTAGGCAAAGAAAAGAAATTATAAAACAATAAACCATTTTCCTTTGGAATTAGTGAGAAGTATAATTCTTTTTTCTTAAACAAGTGTAGTTATTATTACTTTCAAGGAGTCCAGTAACTCAAACTAAGCAAAATGTCAGCCACAGTGATCCCTGGGTCACCTGGTTCAATGAACATACAGGTTTCCTCTCCCACTGCTGACATGAAATTAACTCAATGTGTTGAGATTATTACTCAGATGACGTTATTGTTCAGGAGAATGAGGACACCGTACATGCAAACAAATATAGTAAACAATATTTCTGAATGATACATTAGTTAGTTGCAGAGAAAGTTTCCTTTTAAAACAAGTCATGATGGGATTAAGGCAGATAGGTGCATTTACCTCCTTGGCTAAAACTTGAGAGTACTCAATGTCCAGCTCATACAGCGTTTCAATGTGGTCACTGGTAAACGCTATCGGAACCAAGAGGATATTCTTCCTCCCCCTCTCACAGAGTCCTTTGATAGATTCATCTGTTTGAGGACCCAACCAGGGCATCGGACCAACCTATGCAAAAGGAAGATGAAAGCGTAAGGGACCATTCCTCCTGATGGTCTGTAGTATCTCCATTTGCCACCCTAGGCACACACACTGCCCACGGGGGCAAGAGCCACTCTTTACACCTGCTTGAATAGGTTTGATATTTTCACATGGAAGCTTGAATCCTAGAAGCTGCCTCAATATAATAAGTAACAGTTTCTGTCATTGCAGCTAAAAGTAAAATATTAAACCAACGGAACTCCACGAGTCACTTGATTTCCCCTTCTGTCTTACTCACTTGCAGAGTTCTTTCTGCCCATGGTGAAGAATCAGGTTGTGGAACAGCCTGTCTATGTGGAAGAGCCAAACCGACTATTTCATAACTAACTCATAAAATAAACTTTACCAAAAGAGCTGGCTGCCCGCAGAAGTGTGGAAGCCACCCACCTTGGATTGCCACACGAGTCGGAAGGGGTTGCAGTACCCCAGCCTTTCCATGACTTTTTGGACAGTGGCGCTCACCTCCTGAGGATACGGGTCACCTCTGTTGACCACCTGCAGCAGAGACACAATGGGTGTTCAGTCACCAACACTGGGAAGGCCCCGACTATGTGCTGACACGGTGTGAGCCCTGGAACAAAGTCCTCCCTTTCTGTCTCCTGCACCAATGATGGTATGGTCTGAGTTCAATCACCAAGCTTCCTTAGTTCCACGTCTTCATCAGCCAAAGAAAAACCCTGCACTCAACCATCTCTAAGGTCCCTAAGAGGGTGTAGACTTCCATGTTCCATGTTATTCATGGGTCTAAGGATGGTTCTCTCTCTCTTATCTGAAATATGAAGATGACATAGAAAAGCTGGGCAGGATGGGAATTTCTACACTGGTGGTCATGTGAGTAGTTGATTTCACAACAGGAACTGAAAGAGGGCTGCATGGACAATGTACGGAACTGCTGGATTTACAGTAAACCCCAGTGGAATTAGAGGAGGAAAGCAGCACCTGGGTGCAGGTACCTCCAAGAGTACGACCTGCACCTTCCATTTCCTCTCTCGCCACTCTTCCTGCAACAATGGACAACAGGCAAATGCTTTGTGCACAGCAAATGTTTCATACACATTCCCTTGTTAATACCTTGAAATTTTTCAATGCAAATTTTAATGCTTTAAATATTTACTGTGTACTGACTCCCCAGCCCTCACCTGGCTTTATTTTCTTCTATAGCATCTATTACTTGCTAATCTACCATACTGTTTTCGTATGTATTATGTTTATTATCTTTTGTCTATACTCTCTGAAGACAAAGATTTTTGTCTGTTTTCTTCATTTCCATATCCTATGATATGGATAGAAACAGTGCCTGGAATATAGCAGGTGCTCAATAAATATTGGCAAAATTAAATATAATGACAAGTTGGGTGCAGTGGCTCACCCCTGAAATCCCAGCACTTTGGGAGGCCAAGGTGGGTGGATCGCCTGAGGTCAGGAGTTCAAGATCAGCCTGGCCAACATGGTGAAACCCAGTCTCTACTAAAAATACAAAAATTAGCCAAGTTTGGTGGTGGTCCCTATAATCCCAGCTACTCAGGAGGCTGAGGCAGGAGGATTGCTTGAACCCGGGAGACAAAGGTTGCAGTGAGCCGAGATTGCACCACTGCACTCCAGCCTGGGTGACAAAGCAAGGCTCCATCTCAAAACGTGTGTGTGTGTGTGTGTGTGTATATATATATATATATACACATATACACATGTATATGCATTTACAGGTATTGATCGACTTACGACCTATGCAACTTACGACCATTCGACTTTACGACCACAATCGCTAGCCACGACTGCTCCGCTGTAGATTTTTGGAAACACTACAACATTTTGATGTGTATCAAGAATATCGCTACCACCTGGGAGGCTGTGACAACAAAGTGCATGAATGGCATCTGGAAAAATTGTGTTAAGTGCTATGTTAATGATTTTGACGGATTTGACAGTGAACATGAGCTTGAAACGATTCGGGAAAAAATAGTAAAACTCGCTAAAGACCTTTCTTTGGAGTGTGAAATGGAAGATGTCGAAGAGTTGGTAGACAAAGAATCTGGAGAACTTACAAATGAAGAGCTAATCGAACTGGAAGAAGAAAGAGCGGTGGAAGAAGAAAGAAAAGAAGCAGAGAAAGAAGAGGAGGAGCCAGAAAGAAAGTTCACCACTAAGGGATTATCAGACAGTTTATCTTTACTGAATAAACTTCTTACACATTTTGAAGCAATGGACCCAAACATCGAGCTATTTGCAAGGATTGAATGGATGGCACACGATGTGTTTCGTCCGTATCGTGAAATTTATAAGAAAAAAAGAAACATACAATTCAGACAAAGCTCACCATGTTTATGAAAAAACCAACTCCGGTAACCCCAACTGCTGCCTCAGATGACGACATCAACGATCCTCAGCCAAGCACCAGGGGCCAACAAAATGTTTCGTACATGTTTATATATTTTGATATGTTTTGCAATTGGGAAAATGTTTCCTATGGTATTTTTCACACCTGTATTTTGTATTTTTGTATGCACCTGTATTTTGTAATTTTGTATGTTTTGCAAATATTAAACCAGTTGTATTGGTAATGCAGTGTTTTACTTAAACCTGATGACTGTAAAGGTAAGAAACAAAATGGTGTAGAGATGATACAAATGGCATAAAATGAACAAAGAAAATTATGATATATAACAATAAGGAAAGAAAATTATGATAAAATATGACAAAGATTTTTATAACATCATTTCACAGTACTGTACATGTAGCCTACTCAACTTACGACCAAATCGTGTTACGACCGGTCTGTCGGAACCAATCGTCGTCGTAAGTTGAGCACTAGTTGTATATATGTGTGTACAGATGGTGCTCGACTTACGACCACGATTGGTTCCGACAGGCCGGTCGTAACACGATTTGGTCGTAAGTTGAGTAGGCTATATGCACGCGGAGATGGTAGTGCTGCCGGAAGCTGGTCCGCACTGTCATACACCCAGCTGGGCAACGTTTGCGCTGCCAGACGCGGTGCAGTCGTGGCTAGCAACTGTGGTCATAAAGCCAAATGGTCGTAAGTTGCATAGGTCATAAGTCGATCGATACCTGTGTGTGCGTGTATATATATATATATAGACTCCATCTCAAAACATATGTGTATATATATGTATGTTTTGAGATGGAGTCTTGCTCTGTCAAGACTCACATATATATGTATATATGTACTGACATATGCTATATATGTATACTATATATGTCAGTATGTTATATACCGTATATATACTGTATAGTATATACAGTATAGTACAGTATAGTGTGTGTATATATGTACTGACGAACAATTTTATGATTATTACTACTGGTTTGTTTAAAAGCCATGGGAGGCATAAATGTAGAAGGAGTGAAAGAAACACAAAGCCGCCACTGGAATAGCAATGCAGTAATGCCACAAACATGAACTACCTGTGGATGCTAAGATTAGAGCAAAGTCTGAGGAATAACAGAATCTCTGTATTGTCTCAAAGCTATCTCCTCCAAGATATTTTTAATTACAAAGTGAAAAATAGTAATTGTAGGATGGATCAGCATGGCAGACACAACCTTAAACGAGGGACCAGGGATCACATCACCAGAAGAAAAGCACGTTGACATCACGGACCCCCGGGTGTGACGCACGGAGCAGGGCCCTGCACCCCTGTGGGTTCTTGCCAATGATGCATAACCGCAATCTAATCATGAGAAAACTTCAGACAGATCATGCCACAAAACAACTGACTTCCTAAAAATGGCTCCTCAAAAGTATCAAGGTGCGACAGGGTGTGGTGCCTCACACCTGTAATCTCAGCACTTTGGGAGGCTGAGGTGGGTGGATCACCTGGGCCCAGGAAGTCGAGACCAGCTTGGGCAAATGGCGAAGTCCTGTCTCTTCAAAAAATACAAAAATTAGCCGGGTGTGGTGGTGCGCACGTGTAGTCCCAGCCGCTCGGGAGACTGAGATGAGAGGATTACCCGGGTCTGGGAGGTCGAGGATGCAGTGAGTTGTGACTGCACCGCAGCACTCCAGGCCGAGTGACAGAGTGAGACCCTGTCTCCAAAAAAAAAAAAAAAAAAAAAAAAAAATCAAGGGGATGAAAGAAAAGCCAAGTATAAGGACTGTCACAGATTGGAGGGTGCTGAGGAAACCCCACACCCACACACAGTGTGGGACCCTGGACTGGGTCCCGGAAGAGAAAAAAGACAGCTTTGGAAATAGAGGTGACATCCACATGAAGCCTGGGGTGCAGGGAATAGCAGCGTGCCGGTGCTGGCTTCTTAGTGTTGATAACCGTAGAGTGGTTGTGTGAGATGTTAACGTTCGGGGAAGCTGTGGAGAAGGTGTACATATTCTTTTAACTCTTTACTCTTTTAACCAGTTTCCTGTAAGTTTAAAAATTACTTCAAAATAAAAAGTTTAAAAAGTCGTTAGAAGTAAATGTAGGGGAAGAGAAGAGCGTGCTAGGTCAGCGCTCTCTCTCAACTCTCCAACTGCCCTCCCCATGCCAGGCTTATCCTTATGACATTGTGGCACTTCCCGGTCCCACAAGAACGCTTGAGCAGCAAAATAACCTGGAAGCAGCATGCTCCACCTCCAGGTGAGAGGCCAGGGAAGTGAGACCGGGGTGTGGGGAGGCAAGGCAGCGCCTGGAATCCCCACATACAAAAATGGGTTTTGCCTGGGCACAGTGGCTCATGCCTGTGATCCCAGTACTTTGGGAGGCCAAGGCGGGTGGATCAGTTGATGTTGAGACCAGCCTGGGCAACATGGTGAAATCCTGTCTATACTAAAAATGCAAAAACTTAGCCAGGTGCGGTGGTGTGTGCCCGTGGTCTCAGGTCCTCAGACGGCTCAGGAGAATTGCTTGAATCCAGGAGGTGGAGGCTGCAGTGAGCCATGATCGCACCATTGCACTCCAGCCTGGGCAACAGAGTGAGACCCCATCAAAAAAAAAAAAAAAAAAGCAAATGTGTTTGCTCCAAGCTGGTTCAAGAGCTTCCCTCTGGCAACCCAGGCTAGATCTCACCATACATAGGATGAGGCAGGAAGATGGACATGTGCAAAGCACTGCCTGACACCAGAAAAGGAGGAAATTTAAACCCATTAAAATAGGCAGGCTTCCAGAAGAGAGGTCCAGAGAGAGGAATTTATTTCCAGAGCCTCCTACCACCCACAGGAGGCCCAGCAGAGATGAGGAGTGGAAAATCTACAAGGGCTTGTCCCTCATGGCCACCAGGGGGCGGTAAGGCCCAGTTACAAGCATGGCCGCAGACACAGGTTGGCTCCATTCCCGATGTTGTTAAAACCTCAATCACACCTATGAAGAGATAATTCTCCAACTCTCCGGCTTGGAAAGCACTGTTTTTAGAACACAAGGCTAGTTCTGAGCAGATGAAGCTGGTTACTTATTGCAAGCACTTCTCTATTATCATACAGCACACTGGCTTGATCATTCTTGTTTCCAACAATGAGACAGCTACGGCACAGATTGTAGCATCTGGATGAACAGCCTAGTGTAATATGATGAACTAAAGAGCAGCCAGATCCCAACTCGATCCTCTGTTTTCACTTGCAAAAAATGTGTTCCTGGGTCTTAGCAAACTGCAGTGGCTGCCTGGGATTCAAATAGCCCCACCAAACCCTGAGGACAAAAGCATGGGATTGAGAGGCTTCATCTGAACAGAGAATCTCCCACTCAACACACAGCAACATCACGCTGAGCTCTGGCGACAGGGCAGGCAAAAGTAACCTTCTCTTAACTGTTCCACTTATTAGAAAGTCTTACATTTGAATATATCTTCAAGTTGTCATTTTAAAGAAAAGAGGAGCCAGGCATGGTGGTTCATACCTGTAATCCCAGCACCTTGGCAGGCCAAGGCGGGTGGATCACCTGAGGTCAGGAGTTTGAGACCACTCTGGCCAACATGGTGAAACCCGGTTTCTACTAAAAATACAAAAACTTAGCTAGGCATGGTGGTGGGTGCCTAGAATTCCAGCTACTTGGGAGGTTGAGGCAGGAGAATTGCTTGAACCCAGGAGGCAGAGGTTGCAGTGAGCTGAGATCGTGACATTGAACTCCAGCCTGGGTGACAGAGCAAGACCCTGTCTCAAAAAAAAGGAAAAGATCTATTTAAAACATTAAAATTGGAATTCCTTGTTATGAGGTTTGAAGAAATGAGGCTAAACTAGCAGCAAGTCAAGTATCAGGAAAAAAAATTAGCAGCACGTCTGAGATTTGAGAATTCATTCTTGCACTGGGCTTAGGACATAATGGAAGCTAGACTCATTTTACACATTTAGAAAATGAAATCACCCAATCCTCCATCACCAGGTCATACAACAAAACGTTCTTACTTACAGACATTGGCAGTGAGTGAGCAGAAAACAGAATGACCACCTCGCTTCTCTTCTCAAGTGGAAAACGGTCCAGTTCCTTTAGAACGTGGTCTGCAAAGCACTGCGGGAATCACAAAAGGAGGGTAAAGAGGAAGGGAAGAGAGAAATGGAAGGAAAAAGGAAAGATTTTTAAAATGAAGGCTACACCAAAAATCTCGGAGCAACCCTCAAAAATCAGACCTCTCTTTTTTAAAAAATTGCAAACACTCCAGCCTCTAAGCATTGGTTTATTATCAAAATGGATCATAACGGTTTCAGGGGCCTGGGGAATTTGCTGGGAAACTTCTAAAGCTCACTAATGGCTCACTGCAAATGTGCGCCGTGGATGTGCTTCCCCTCGGGAAGGACAGGGCACACTTCCAGATGGAAAGGAAACACAGATGGGAAGGAGAAGTTGTTTTAAGACGTCTCATTTGCTCCGTTAGCAGGAAAATAGCTTACAGGGTCTTTCTAAAGCCTCCGTGGTTTGGCTTTCAGGCATACCACATTAAATACATGAGTCAGAAATAGTAGGGAAATAAGAAAATACTGTTCTATTTTTATAACATTTTCTTCTCAGCCTGCATCCCCATCAAGTCCATTTTTATAAAAACCTTCACAGTAACAGATGACAGGTGATACACACCCATTAAATTCACAGAGCGGGGAAAGATGTGGTAAACTCAGGGGCCCATTCAGTCCCATCTGGGGAACTTGCGAGAGAACATGGTTCCTGCCTCCTGCTCCAAACCTCTGTCCACCAGACCAGGGAGCTCCCTTCGTCTAGCTAGCACTTTCTGATTCACGTCGATAGGTGCTGAAATACCAGAGCTGAAGGGGCTTTCTTTCATCTTATACTTTAATCATCCTCTGTCATTTCGCTTATAAAAAATGCTACAAAAGACAGAAATGGGTCAACTGACAAAATCAGAATATGAATGTAAATTAAGTAAAAGTTTATGTATTGATGTTAAATTTACTGAATTTGAATGTTGTATTGTGGTTATGTAAGAGAATATTCCTGATTTTAGGAAACATACACCTAAGTATTTAGGTGTAGATGATGGCGATATACGCATAACTTATTCCCAAATGGGTCAGAAGAAAAAGGATGTATATACAAACACAGAGACACACACATATACACACACACATAGAGTATGTAAATGATAAACCAAGTGGGATATACGTGTTAATAACATGTCAATAGGCCAGACGCAGTGGCTCACGCCAGTAATCCCAGCACTTTGGGAGCCAAGGCGGGAGGATTGCTTGAGCCCAGAAGTTCAAGACCAGCCTGGGCAACATGGAAAGACCTAATCTCCACAAAATTTTTAAAAATTAGCAGGGCATGATGGCACATGTCTGTGGCATTTGAGGAGGCTGAGGCAGGAGGATCACTTGAGCCCAGGAGGTCAAGGCTGCAGTGAGCTATAAACATGCCACTGCACTCCAGCCTGGACAACAGAGTGAAACCCTGTCTCAAAATAATAATAATACATGAATATAGGTAAAAGAGTAGATGAGAGTTCCTTATACTGTTTTTAATCTTATAACTTTTCTGCATATCTAAAATTATTTCCAAACTGTCCATTATAACTTTTTAAAAATTAAAAAGGTCAATTTATCAGAAACATGTAAATCTGCACTTGTTGGTAGTTTGATATATCAGTGCCACTGAAAACAATGGTATAAGCAAACTATTCCCTGATAATTATTAAGATATGATTAATCTTTCCAGAACTCTCAAAATTTGGTAAATAAATGTCCTAAGGCATAAAATGGTACCTAAAGGTAAATTCCTTTTTCAGAATTTATAATGTAAATTCTCAGTAAATGTGATAGGATTAGACACAAACAAAACCAATATTTTCTGGTCTTTGCAGTGTTTGGAAACTAAGGATGCTCAGAAAGGATTATTTTTGGACCTCAGCCTAGATAAGGAGGCCCATTGCAAGGTTTAGACAGGAGCCTAGAACATATATTTGCTCCAATTACTCCAACAGCTAGAAAATACCAATATTGGAGAAAACAGTAATAAAATGACTATTTGGAGTAATTACTACCTATACCAAGTAGAAATGTGAATTCAAAATGGAATTTGTAGTTTTTAACTATATTTTTAGTTTTAGTTTAGGGTTTTGTTTTCTGGTTTCCAAAAATGTCACATCATATCCAAAGCTTAGTGTTTTGTTTTGCTTTTTTTCTTGGCTTGCAAAACTGCAAGTAAAAACACAAATCATATGGCTTGCAACAGCCTCTAAGCCATCCTCAAAACTGAGGCGCCATGGGCAAGGAGAAGTGCTATTTAAATCACCTAAAACCCATCTGCAGTATTTTCTACACACAACCCCCCTGCAGAATGAAAGAGGCACAGAGCCTCTCAGAGCCTTCAATCACACCATCTAGAAGGGCAGATAAATGCCTCTAAAATTCCCTTTCATTTTATGAACAGAGACTTCCTCAGTTAAGAGACCTTTCCATCGTCCTGCTTCCCCCCTTTTCAAAGGGCTGAATTTTAATGCAAATCTAATTACTCACTCGTTCAGGGCAGGCAGATGCTGTGCAGATCCCTCCATTCCCTGCTACCACATGGCAGTGCTGACCTGAAACACCCCTCCTTTCCTATCAGGCCTCCCAGAGCAAAACCCGGGCTGCTGGTGCTTCAGGCAGTACTGGCTGGACCCAGCAATACAGCCGTCAGTGGTGCACACAGAGACCACTACACCCACCCCTAAGGGTAAGCCTTCTTTTCACTTTTTACTTAAAATTGGATTTCAACCCAAGTGTTAACCCTTTATGTGCCTATGGAACACTGCTCTGGGGAGAGCTGGCCCGATTTCAATGATATCTAGCACCATCTAGTGGTCACAGATTTCAGTGACACCAGACTTTAGAAGTGAGTAGGGTTTTTTGCCAGGAGTCAGAAAACCGTCGAGGAGTGAAAAATAAAATGGATAAAATCTAAATGACCTAATATTACCCCTACCTAAAATAACTCAAAAACAGAAACTTCTACTAGCAGAACAAAATTATATTTGCATATTTTAGGGCAATATTTTACCAACTGCCCTCTCATATTTGACAGGCAGAAAAGAATACAGTAACATAAGTTCAAAGCTACTAATTTTAGAACTGTAATTTTAACTTATTCTCCTAAAATCAAGCACCTGTTAATAAAAATATTATAAATGTAAACTGTATAGAAGAAATATGAAATTTCTTTTAATATGTGAAGCTTTCTCAATTGAAACATTCATTTTCATGTCTCAGAACATGTAGCTATATTACTTTTACATTTTTTAAACCTTTTGACATTTTAAAAGATTTAGAAAATAGAAAATTTAATTCATTGGTTAGTCATTCGATCTCTAAATGTGAGTTAGCTGAAACACCATGCACAATCTTTAATGATCTTCTGGTCATGGGAAACTCAAAACTCAAAACATCATTTTGTGATGGTTTGGGACTAATAGCATTAATGTGAAGAAAGAAGAGTCTAATCATTTTAATCTTTAAATTCATTTCCTCTTTTCATAATAAATCAAGAGTGTAATATTTTTATTTAATCCCTAACACACAATTTAAGCAAGAGAACAGTAAAGCTCAGAAGGACATCCATAAACCCAGAAGGGACGAGCAGCTGATTCACGCTGGACGACGGGGTGACGGGCGGCTGGCAGTCACTGGCTTACCTGAATGAGGAGGCGATGTGTGGGCCACCTGTCAATAGTGCTCCACTTCATCATGGGCTTCCGTCCCACTTGATTATAGTATCTGTAAATGGCATTTAAGCTGCTGCCTGAAATATACAGAGGCCACTCAGTAGATGCATTTTGATTATGGTGAAAATAAAAAACAGACTCGTAAAGGTAGTATATACAAGTTCAAAGCAGTAACTGCTTCTATACTGAATCAGTCTAATCACAATTACTTTAATACTCTAAAGTGCATATAGATTTAACTACTCTGAAAATGAAGATCACTAAAAAGCAATCAATTTCAATGGACTTTCAAAGACTACTGATGTCAGTTCTAGTGAAAAACAAGATGGCTGAAGATTTATGAAATATAAGCAGTCATATTTACAGGGACAAGTCTCTGTAAGTATGAAATTGAAAGTATGTTGGCCGGGCATGGTGGCTCATCCCTGTAATCCCAGCACTTTGGGAGGCCGAGGTGGGCTGCTCACCTGAGGTCGGGAGTTTGAGACCTGCCTGACCAACACGGAGAAACCCCTGTCTCTACTAAAAAAATACACAATTAGGGGAGCATGGTGGTACATGTCTGTAATTCCAGCTACTTTGGAGGCTGAGGCAGGAGAATCACTTAAACCCAGGAGGCGGAGATTGCAGTGAACCAAGATTGCACCATTGCACTCCAGCCTGGGCAACAACAGCAAAACCCTGTCTCAAAAAAAAAAAAGAAAGAAAGAAAGTCTGGTTTTTTTTCACAGTTACAAAGATTATCAACCCCATCACAGAACATGTATGGGATGGGGAAGAAAAGAAAAAAGAAACTGAGCATTTTCCCAGCATGCTAATCACAGTCATTGTTTTACTCTAACAGAGTTCTTTTTTTCTTTATAGCTATTTTGTTTTACAAAGTTGTAATTTTTAATACATATGCAGTTCTGCATGCTGAGTATTCTGAGCATTTTTACTAAATATTCTGAGATAAATATTTTCTATGTTACAATAAAAGCTTTATAACGATTTTTTGTTAGGTTGGTTGGTTTTGAGACAAAGCTTTGCTCTGTTGCCCAGGCTGGAGTGCAATGGTGTGATCTCAGCTCACCACAACCTCCACCTCTCCATGCTTTCCATCACTAATCCACTGGGCTCTCTAACTATAAGAACTATTAGTTAGGTTTCCAATTTAAAATGTTAGTCAGGAGAGAGCATATTTTAAATCAAATATACCCTCAGACTAAGACTCAACTTTCAAAAGGATACACAGCTTCCATTTTGGTGAGTAGAATACAGTGAATCAGAAGAATTCAAATGGACTCCATTCAAGGTTCAGAAACAATCTCTTCAGAAATCAAAAAGTAGTCACCACCATGTTGACATTATAAACCACACTTCACAGGTGGATATCATTTTCATATGTGCAAGGGGGCAACTGGAAGCTACATTAGTGCTTTCAGGTTGCTTGGAAACATTCAATAAACAACCCAACTTTTTGTAGCAGAACATTTCAAAAAGAAATAATAATTTAAGCGGAGCACCTGTAATCCCAGCACTTTAGGAGGCTGAGGAAGGTAGATCACTTGTGGCCAGGAGTTTGAGATGAACCTGGCCAACATGGTAAAACCCTATCTCTACCAAAAATACAAAAATTAGCCAAGCATGGTGACGCATGCCTGTAATCCCAGCTACTCGGGAGGCTGAGGCAGGAGAATCACTTGAACCTGAAAGACAGAGGTTGCAATGACAGAGTGAGACTCTGTCTCAGAAAAAAAAAAAAAAAGAAAAGAAAAGAAATGATAATTCAAACTCTTGAGGGTATATGAGAACTCAGGCATTTAAATGGGTTCTCTGAACAAATATTTAAAGCACATAACAAGCTTTGACCTTTTCTTCCAATAGTCTTTTGACTCTCCTTATGGTTAAAGAAAATGATAAACATTAATATCCAAAAGCAATTTGGGACTAAGAATGTGCTGACCTCAATCCTTGCAATGAATGCAAACAAATGTATCTGTAGGTGACAGTAGCAACTTTGCCTACAATGAATGATACAGAGATTGCCAAACAGATTATTCTTCAGCTCCGGTTAAATATACAGAAAACAACAAGCAGTAACATTTTCCAAAATCAGGAACATGGAGAATTTTGCAAGGGAAACCCCGAACTGGGCTTTAGTTTTACCAGCAACCAACCAATATTATCAGCACAACAGCAACAACAAAATACCAGTATTTCCCATGTTGTGTGGGTCTCTTTGCTCTCAAAATGGGAACAGTTACAATCTTTGCTACATCAATAAGAAAATCTGTGGCCAGGAGCAGTGGCTCATGCCTATAAGCCCAGCACTTTGGGAGGCCGAGGTGGGTGGATCACCTGAGGTTGGGAGTTCAAGACCAGCCTGACCAACAAAGAGAAACCCCGTCTCTACTGAAAAATACAAAATTAGCCAGGCGTGGTGGCACATGCCTGTAATCCCAGCTACTCGGGAGGCTGAGGCAGAACCACCTCTTGAACTTGGGGGGTGGAGGTTATGGTGAGCTGAGATTGCACCATTGCACTCCAGCCTGGGCAACAAGAGCAAAATTCTTTTTTTTTTTTTTTTAAGAAAGAAAATCTGGGTAGCCATAAAAAGAAGGTTTATCACACAAACCTAGAAAGTGCCTTAAGGTTCATTTACTGATCCATTACACAATAGCATTAAAGCGCTGAGCACTTACCAGCCACTGCCTACCACCCACCATTTGTAATTCCCAGCCAAGCGGCCAATAATTCAAGGGACAGATGGACCATGAGATTTCAAATAGACTGACCTAAACTCTCATGTTTAAAGAAGACAGGCTGGATTTGCCATTCAAATTGCAAATGCTTCATCCCTCTCCTTCAGTACTTAGACTCCTCGTTATTTTCGCCGGCACCGCATCTACCTGTCCACTGTGAGAGAGAGATGCCTTACCTGTGGTGGAGCAGCTGTACTGTGGATACTGCGTGAAAGCAATAGCCCTTTCTAGGCCATCTCTCTCCATCTCTTCAATGGCTTCTTCTGTTAAAGGATGGACGTACCGAAATCCAATATAGTATTTGTGAGGGGCTATTAGGAAGCACATGTGGAAAGGAAAAAGTATTAATCTTTATATAGATTCCTCAGAGTCACCAAACATAATGCAATGCCCAGAACAAAGAACAGCTAATGTAATTTCCTATGGCACTGACGGTGATGGCAAGTTTAGCATATTCCTTGGATCTTATCCACTCTTCAGCTGGTATGCGGACTTTTAATCAGGATTTTCTGAGATCAGCACCCCACCCACACACCTTTACTGCACAGTGGTTTTTAAAACTCAAACTTCTGTTCCTAATTTTCTGTTTTTGGCTGGCATGAGAGAGCCTGAAGAAAAAGGAGGAAAAAACAACACTTATTCTAAAATTGGACTTCCTCTTGCATACCAGACACCATGGTAGACACCGTGTGTTATTATTTTAATCATTTAGACCTTGTTTTTCAGATAAGGAAACAGAGACTCTGAAGGTTAACTGAACTGCCCAAAGTCATACCTTGCAGGTGGTCAAGCTGGAATTAGAGCCTGGATCCCCCACCCCATGCTTCTCGCTCCTCCCAGGTCTCCCTACCCTGCTCCTATTACCCAGTTCCCCAAATCCCCAGGCCAACTTGTTTATATTTTAAAAATACAAGAGCTCTTGGATACGTAAAAAAAAAAATTCATTGATAACAAATGATTAAAATGATTCTCCTCATCACACATATAAAACAATGCTTAATTTGGAGGTACCACATGGGATTTAAAGCCACTGTTCTTGATGTCTAAATGGCCCACACCTGCTATATATCCTCGTGTTCTTTCCCTGTCCCTTCCCTGTCCTTTCACCAACATGCTCCTCTATATTCTTCTTCCTCCTGCATCTCCCTTTCCTGTATTTCAAAAACATTCACACCACCTAATTGCTTAAACATGTATAAAGCCATAAAACTACAAGTTTCCTAAACTTACTTAGTCTTGGTTCCTCGCCTTTTCATAGGATTACATATGACTTACACTCAGAGGTGACAGTGAGAATCAGTACATGAATGTCAGGTAGTACTAAAACCATGATAATGTTACCATCCAAAGCATTAGAAGAGGCTGCAACTATGAATGCGACACAAATTGCCCCAAGAAACATCTAAGTTAAAGTGAAGGAAAAGATGGGAGTTTATCTCATTTTTACCTAGATACATACAAGGATGACATTCCTCCTAACTTGACCCAGAGAACTACAAGCCAATGGAACACATTCCCAAGGAAGAAGCGGAATGCTGTTAGGTGAGAGAGGCATGCGTGTGTGGAAAAGCTGGTCAGACTCAGTATTCTCTGGTTGGGGACAGCAAAAAGGAGGAAGGAAGTAAAATGGAATCATTTGCAGCTCCCTGTCTGTTTTCAGGCCACCAATTTCATGCTGTCTTGCATAAAATGGTCACTAGCAATTAACACATATCAGAGGATGTGATCCCATAAGCAAACTCCAAATGACTAATTGTTCAAAGATTATGTGCTTCATGCTAAAAACTGCCAACTATTACCATACCGTCAAATCCACTGAAGCAACTCCTGGTGATCTGAACTCAGGTTTAGCAAGCAAGGGGAAACTGCTTTCAAATTTGCTTTGAAACAATACAATGATCAGAATGCCATCACCAGTGCTGCGGGTCAACCAGCTCCTCACGTTTTTTTTTCACCTGTCTAGTATCTGCAGGTTATAGTCTAAACGCCTGGGGTCTGGGAGTTCCTCAAATCGTGCATACTAAGCGGTAGACAGGCTGCTGTGGCAGATAAAGACAGGGCGGGCGGCCACATTTTAAAGTGAGACAGAGTAAAATACCCTGGAAATAACTGATAATGTTTTCTAAATGCTTTCTAAAGACAGCTTGCAAACACATATTGCAAAAAAAAAAAAAAAAAAAAAACGGCAATATCCCCGACTGGGCATATCCTGAGGAACCAACAAACAGTATTCATGAAGGACCCCTGTCCATCAGGGTGGGTTTCACACTGTGCTGGCTGCCCCTGGCAGGATGCAGGCATGGGAAGGAGCCTCTCTGATGTTAACCAGCACCACATCTCGTAGGCACATCTGGCCAGAGTGAGCCCAAAACACATCACTCACTGGCCTAGCCTAGGTACCCTCAGAGCAGCCGTCCAATGAATAGTCTTCCACAAGAACTATGAAAAGACAGAGAAACTAGATTTTAAACAGCAAAACTTCATTAATTTAGCATGTACAATCGTTCAAATGTCCGATATGCACATGATTTTTTGAGAGAAAGGTTTGAAATACATAGCAAACGCTTCTTAATTTGTATCAAATCACGAACCTGTGCCAACAATGAAAAGGCTCACGTATATTGAATTTTTGCAATGTTAATGCCTTTCAGGATTATGTTATTTAATTTTCACAAGGATCTAGGAGTTGGATTCTATTATCATCCCCATTTTTGAGCTGAGGCTTAGTGAAATAAGTAAACTGCCTGAACCAGGGGGGAAATCCAACATCTTCAGAGAAAAGAGCCCACACTCCTACCACACTGCATCCGGTAAAGAAGAGAAGTATTTCATGAGTAACCCTTACTTACAGCTTCACTGAAAGCAGTTACAAGCTAAGCCGTTAAACTATAATTTGTAAAGCATATTTGAGATTCAGCCTTTCCATCAGATAATTACACTTCTCATCTACTTCTGTTATCTATTCTCTACATTTCTGCAATGCAGTGTAACTACATGAAACCATTTCCTGATATAACTCACTGTCTTAGTTAACTGGTCAATTCTATGAAAACCAGTGCAAGTCTCAAAAGGTCCACTCTGGCTACCAAACAACAACCACTTCCCTAAAAAATGACAGCATGAAACACGTTTATCTGTTTGCAATCATCGCATTTTCTGGCCTAAAGAGAATTTTTCTTAACAGAAATAAATGAACAAACATAGTTTAAAAGGGAACTTTACAACTGTATAGAAGGAAAGGATCAGAAGGGAGGAGGAATGAGAAGGAGATGGAGAGGCACCCCAGCAGCCTTGCCACAGAGACAGGAGGTGGCGGGAAGGATGCCCTTCTGTCTGTTTTCCTTCTTCAAGTCTGACAACTGTACTAGGGCTCTAACTCCTGGGCTCAAGCAATCCTTCTGTCTCAGCCTCCCAAAGAGCTGGGGTGCACACCACCCCCATGCTCACTAGGGCATGTAATGATGGGTACCATAGTAACACAAAAACAGGAAAAATGGGAACCTTTCTGCCTCTTCTTCCCGCTGAAGACAGCATAGCAATTGCAAATTTGGTTCACAATAAATCCTTTTTTTTTTTTTTTTTTTTTTTTTTAGACAGGGTCTCACTCTGTTGCCCAGGCTGGAATGCAGTGGTGTGATCATGGCTCACTGCAGCCTCAACCTCCCTCACTCAAGCGATCCTCTCACCTCAGCCTCACAAATAGCTGGGCCTACAGGCATGTGTCACCATGCCTGACTAATTTTTGGGTTTGGTTTTGTTTTGTTTTGTTTGTATGTGTAGACAGAGTTTCACAATGTTGCTCAGGCTGGTCTCACACTCCTGGGCTCAAGTAATCCACCAACCTTGACCTCCCAAAGTGCTGGGATTACAGGTGTGAACCACTCAGCCAGGCCCACAAAAAGCCTTTGATCATGATAAACCGTTAATAACTTGTATTTGTTCTCTATCAGGCAGGTGTGAGTGGAGGACTGACATTTTAAAAGATGCACTGCAGCATGTGCAGAGGAACCACATGCCCTTGGGCCCCAGCTGAAAGCAGGAAGCAAGCCGGATGTGCAGAAGCACAATTGAACAAATCTCCAAGTGAGGTGATGTGTGAAGGGGCCAGGGCCCTTTGTTACTTTCTGCCATGGGCACCGGTGGATTCTGAGAGCAGCTGGAGTGGATGCTCGCTCAGTGAGGTCAGAAAAGAGTAAAAGGCTCCCTTTGGTCCTGCCTAGTGAAGCTGTTCTCCTTGAGGGTCCCCAGCATCACAAACCTATCCTGATCCCAAAGCTCTAAGATATATTTGCAACAAATGTAATTCATGTGTCCTGAGATGTACATTTTTTTCGGTTTTAACATTTCTTATATCAGTCCAGTCGCTAATAGATGATGCCTTAAAATTAATTGGTAGTGCTTTTGTGTCTTAGTACTATACAAAAACAGTGTGTTCTACAATCAGTTGTGTGTCTTTGATGTGTTTAATATGGCATGTTTACTTCATCCATGCATATAGTGGTTCACTCTGCACACCGTTATTCTGCATAGAGGTTCTCAGATGTGCACAATCGTCTTTCAGTGTCACGTCCAACAAGGACCTTCAATACCTTACAATGGTGGTATTCTGAGAGCTGAAAGCATCACTGCAAGTTGCTTAGTGTCTTGTGGCTTCCATGAGAGCTAGCTAATCCCGCTCTCAATGTTCTAATTAGCTATCCAACTAGAAAGAAAAGGCAACAGCAGCAGCCTCAATCCATTTTCCAAAGATTTCTTTCCAGTGTAATGATATATGCATCTTTTATTCATGGTATGTTGCTTGTGCCTTATACTCTAGCTCAACTTAATAAACATCTCGAACTTCCTTTTGAACCTAATGTCCCAAATCCTTAGCTTTATTTATTTGTAATGTAAGATGTAATAGCAGAGGCTAAAGGTCAAGGGATAATGCCTGGAGACCTAAATTAATTGACCATTTATTATGTAGAAACATCACCAATCAAGTTGCCAGTACCTATGAAGCATTTAGCATCTACTACTGTTCTGAATGTCACAACTACTTTGAAAGAACTAATCTAGCTACATGTTAATGAAGAAACAACATACCTGTGTTGGGGGACAATTCATCCAGCAGCTTCACCATGCCCTCTCCCTGCTTGGAAGTCCACATCTTGATGGGGGATCCGCCTCCAATCCTGCGGTACTGCTCTTGAATCTTGGGGGTTCGGCGTTTGGCGATGAATGGTGCCAGCTTACTAAATCATTTAACATGCAGGTAAGTGAATTTTACTCCACCTTAGCAACCTGAGAAATGTTTTCTACTCAATTTAAAAAGTAAGCAAAATTTGAGAGAGTCTAACAAGATTAAGCCTTTAAAACAGAAGCTTGAGGTCAATGACAATAGTCAGCTCTCTTGGTGCAGATTAAGGAGCTAAATCTAGACCCTCTCTGAGAATTAACCCAGTCATGCTCCACAAGTTGTTTCAGTAGCACACCCTGAAGATTCAGGACACACAGCACCCATGCAGAGAGCCTGGATGTGTGCTAGCTACTAGTGTAACACATTTTGATCCCACACCTAACGAGAACTAGGATATAAGACCAAGGAAGTAGACATTCCTCTTAATTAAAAAAAAAAAAAAAGGCCTATTAATCTTATAGATATACTTGCATATAAGAGCAAAGATGTATGCACAAGAATGTTCACTGTGACACTGCAAACAACCTATCATGAAGCACAGACTAAACAAACT